TCTGTTTTCAAATGAGAAATTGGCCTGTGACTTTTATTTTTTACTATTCATGTTCAGTTTCAATATTAGGATAACACTGGCCTTGCAGAATAAGTTGGAAAGCCTTTAATCTTTCCCTATGGTCTGGACCAATGTAAGTGACAGGAATTATTTAACACAACTTGTTATTCAGGCTATGTGGGTTGGACTTCCTTTGTTTCTGAGCACCCTTCAAATCCTTTTGAGCAATTAACATTTCTCATTGACTCATTTGGACTTTCAGATATATTAGAGATTATTTAATAGACTTTTTGTTATTATTTAGGTTTATGAAGTGTTAGCCTTTCTGTCTCTAGTTCTCTCTCTCTCTCTCTCTTTCTCTCTCTCTCTCAAAGAGGTTAATTATGTTACTCAATCTGGTCTAAAATTCCTACTCAATCCTTCTACCTCAGGTGCACATCACCATACCCAGCTCTAGAGTCATAGCCTTTTTTTTTTTTAAAATTGCAGTGTAGTTGCATTTTCCTTACTCATTTTTTTCTTTTTCTTTCCTTTTTTTCCCAAGGCTGGGACTTGAACTCAGTATCGGATGTTTTTACTTATTGGCTGGTGCTCTACCACCTGAACCATGTCTCCAATCTCCATTATTTTCATAGAGTTTTTATTTTTATTTTATTTTTTTGGGTCCGGTCGTGGGTCCTGAACACTGGACCTGGGCGCTGTCCCTCAGCTCTTCAGCTCAAGGCTAGCGCTCTACCACTTGAGCCACAGTGCCACTTCCAGCTTTTTTCTTTTTGCTTATGTGGTGCTGAGGAATCGAACCTAGGGCCTCAGGCATGCAAGGCAAGCGCTCTACCACTGAGCCACCTTCCCAGCCCCGAGTTTTTATTTTTTAAAGTAAGTTTAGTTCTGTAGTTTATTTATTCCCCTTGCTCCTTACTTTATTTTATATTTTATCTTGGTTTATTTTCTAATAAGTGATACAAAACGTCAGAGTTTTGTATGGTTCCTTGTCCCCTGGTCCATTGTCAAATCCTGCCAGCCTCTACCTTGCTATGCCCACAGAACGTAGGGACAGGATGCCACTACTGCAGCAGGCGGCAGCACAGCCATTGTTGTCTCATCTGAATGGGTGTGACATCCTCTTCCTGGGTCTCCTGCTTCCAGGCTGTGCTCACTACAATAGCCTGTGTGTGCCATCCTCGTAGATGGAAAGCTATTCCACTTTTTATTTTTTTTAACTGACTTTGAACTCAGGGTCTGACACTTGCTAGACAGGTGTGTACTACCCTGAGCCACCTCCAACCCATAAGTTGGGAGAGCTTTAAGGCTCACTCTTTTTTTTTTTTTTTTTGTTCTGGTATTGGGGCTTGAACTCAGGGCCTGGGAGCTAGCTGTCCCTTAGCTTTTTCCATTCAAGGCTGATTGACACTCTACCTTTTAGCCACAGTTCCACTTCTAGCTTCTGACTTCCATAATTGCTTCAAATCCAGAACTCAAGAAGCCACGCTTGGTGAGTAACTTAGTCTCCCACCTGAGGTAAAGTTTGGACTTAGGGGTTTATAATCCAACTATTTGTTTTTCACAAAGCCTCCTATTTTTAGCCATTGGGTTTGAGATTAGGATGGCCCCATTAATGACAAGTACCCTTGCTTTCCTGTGATTAGGCACTTTTGGTCTTGGTTGCCTCTTCTAGTGTTTCTTCTTCTTCTTTTTTTTTTGGTCGGGTTGTGGGGCCTGAACTCTGGGCCTGGGCACTGTCCCTCAGCTCTTCAGCTCAAGGCTTGAGCTCAGCGCCACTTCTGGCTTTTTTCTTTTTGCTTATGTGGTGCTGAGGAATCAAACCCAGGACCTCATGCATGTAAGGCAAGCGCTTTACCAGAGCCACCTTCCCAGCCCTTTTAGTGCTTCTTGAAGGGCTGTAGATGACTGTTTCCTAGAGGTGGTGTTCCTATGAATGGTTCAACCTCCTGTGGAGCCCAGCAGAATTCTGGAGAAGGGGAGCCTAGAGTGTGGGAGAATCCTCAAGATTACAGTTTGCTCTTCCAGATCCCTTCCCAGCCCTGAATGCAGAGTGGAATTGGACCATGGTTCTTGTGCTCACCTAAGCCTGGCTCTTGCACTTTGAGAAAAAGCTGTCAGTGCCTAACAGGGCCTCTAATGTCCCTATTTGTTGACAGACAGGAAGCATCTTTGCTGGAGCCTCTGGTGTCTTCTGAAGGCACAAGAGTCCTTGCCTCTGCCTTCCAGGTCCTTTGGAGCCAGACATTTGCTACTGTGTTGGAGTCTTTATTCAGTGTGGTGCACTGGCATTTGGTCATGTCCTTGGAGGAGGGAGGTACACTGAAGAGCACTGCTGTCTGTATGGAAGCAGCTCTGTACGTGAGGATGGAGCTGCCTCTGATGCCAGGCTTCCAGGGCTACTCTGTAGACTCCATTTACAAGCTCATGGGCATGATGAAGTCCAAGTCCTATGGGTACAGAGGAAATTCCTGCAGCTGGCCAGTGGTCCTCACCTGGCCGTCGTATTGATTTTTATATCCATTTTCACTCTTTTGCTTGATTTTTTTTTTCATTTTCCCAGCCTGTATAGCCCATGTTGGGATTTCCAGTAGTGACCCCTCCCCTTCCTTGTTCAGACTCTGTACAAATGAGTAGAACAGAAATGCAGCCTGGATGTGAGAATGCCCCCTTAGTGGAGGAGAGCCACGTTAGGGGATGTGCTTCGATGGGCTTCTTTTGAGCCCTAGTAGGGTTCTGGAGAGCAGAGAACATGGACTTGCTTCTAACCGTGCAATGGTACATGCCTTTAATTCTCCCTACTTTGCTTCAATAGCTTGCGTTTTCTGGCATGGTTTTCTGTGTCATTCTCCCATTTGCCCAGGTACTACCATAACCAGTAGTAGGCATGAATATTCTTTTTTTTTTTGGTCCGGTCGTGGGGCCTGAACTCTGGGCTTGGGAGCTGTCCCTCAGCTCTTCAGCTCAAGGCTAGCGCTCTACCATTTGAGCCACAGCACCGCTTCCAGCTTTTTTTTTTTCTGCTTACGTGGTGCTGAGGAATCGAACCCAGGGCCTCATGCATGCAAGGCAAGCGCTTTACCACTGAGCCAACTTCCCAGCCCGGCATGAATATTCTTAATGACTAAGACTTCTGTATAATCTGCACACACCCACAAGCAGAGTCACCTGGATGTAACTATCCCAGGACAACTGTCCTGCTCTTGTCCTGGGATAAACTTTGCCATGGGCCTTCTTAGAATGTGATGAAAGTCAATTCAGCCTTGTCCAGAGGAGTGTAGACAACAGCCTTTTTCAGGTAAAGGGTGAATTCTGCATCAGGAGTGGGAGCTTGGCATCCAGCTGGCAGGGAGCCTTGGACAGCTGCTGCTGGAGACTGGTTCATGGCTGTTGGACCCCAGCTGTGAGTTTTTGTGCCTGAAACATGTGGTATAAACATGTTTGACACGAGCTTATCCTGTAGCTCTGAGACTTACATTTAAGAACAATTTGATTTTATCACCATATGAGCGCAGATGTAGTTTTGTAGATATGTTTTGTTTTTTATTTCAAAAAGTATTTATTTTCCATGGTCAGTATAATTCTTCTTGGGGAACTTCATCCTTTGATCTGGACTGGAAAAAATGTGACCATTTTAAGACCTCTTAAAACACGTCTTCGGATTTATTGTGTGTACAAATGGAAATTCAGATAATAGCTCTGTTCTTAGCTGAAGAAAAACAGGAAAAGAAAATAAATTTCTCGTTACTTGGAATGATAAACACCGTGAAGCATGTGCTGTATATCCTGGCAACAGAAATTCAAGGTCGGAAATAATTCCTTTCCTCCTGAGTCTGCCTTCAGCCTCCCGAGGACTGCTGTGGCTGAAATTCGCTACTAATTGTAGCCATAATTTTAGCATGCAATTAAACACATGATTTCCTTCCCAGTTGATGTCTTTTTAGTGAGTGTGACATGGGTAAAACAAAAGCTCTGTTGATTTGAGCGGCCACTTTAATCTGATAGGAGGTCATGGAGAGTCACCATTATTATTTGGGTATGTTCAGCTCCCCAGTGGGAGCTAGATTAATCTTGCCCATAAAATTGGTGAACAGCTTGGCTGCTTCTAGTATAATGCAGTGTTACTTACTATCTGTGGATGGAAGAAAACCAATGGTTGATGTGTCTGTTTTGCCAAATCCATTTGAGATTGGGGATCATGGGAGAGAGGAAACTAGTTGGAGTGAATCAGGTGGAAATTGTGAGGTTGTGGTAGGAGCAGAGGCTAATGGAAGTCAGGTTCAGGAGCTCTGGTATCTGAGGGGCCCTAAGGCATGAGATCAGCCCTACTTCTCCTTCTTCCTTCTTTGTCTTCCTTCTTCTTCTTTTGCCTTCCTCCTTCCTCCTTCTTCCTCCTCCTTCCTCCTCCTTCCTCCTCCTTCCTCCTCCTCCTTCTTCCTTTTTTTGTTGGCTGTGGGTCTTGAACTCTGGCTCTGGGCGTTGTCCTTTAGCTCTTCAGCTCAAGACAAGCACTCTACCACTAGAGCCATAGTGCTTCTGGTTTTCTGATGGTTAATTGGAGGTAAGAGTTTGGACTTTCCTGCTGGGGCTGGCTTTGAACCGAGATCCTCAGATCTCAGCCTTCTGAGTAGCTAGGATTACAGCATGAATCACCAGCTCCTGGCTGAGCCCACTTCTTAGGCCTGAGCACAGAGCCTCTTCATGGATGGAGGCAGAGGGCTTTACTGGATATGGTGCTAACATGGTTTCCCGGAGTAGGCATGCCAGCTTACTATCCACCATGCACCTGACATCTGATCTATGTTCTTTCCCACCTCTGGTGTTTACAGGCCTTTCTTTCTTCCCAGGTGTCTTGGGCAGGCTGTAGCATTCTCCTTACTCCCCTAAAGTCAACTGCCTTGTCTTCTCCAGGTTTCTGATTCTATTGATGTGCATGTGCTTTTTAGAAAGGGTAACTCTTGTGTTGCCAGCTCTTGTAGCTTTTTGAATTGTTCTTTCAGATGGCAAGTTTGGTGCCTATATGCAAGTGCACATTCAGAATGATGGGCCTGTGACTATAGAACTGGAATCCCCAGCTCCCGGTACTGCTACTTCTGACCCAAAGCAGGTAAGCCTCAAGTCAGGACCTGGGCCAGTCTCCTGGGTACCAGCAACATGTCTTGGCTTCAGGTAAGGACTGAGTAGTTCTCAGTCTGATATGAAGGACATACATTAGTCATTGTAATCTCATATTTATTTTAATATCTTTCTTCCCCAAGAATGCATGTTTGTGCTATAACTCCTGAGTATATAGGCCCCTGGAATCATGAGGAGAAAATGTCCTTTGCCTGGGTTCCCGTTCCTGGGCCAAGTGCTATAACATCTACTTGCCACTAGGTGGCAGCAGAGCAGCTCTGGCTGATTCACCCATTCAGAACCATTTATTTACCTGAAATGTTTCGTCCCAAGTGTGGGTTGATGAGCCACCCAAGGTTCTTTGTAAATCCTCATTGTTCTGACTTGGAGTTACTGCCAACTCTGTAAGCTTTCAGAAAAAAAAAGGCAAGCAGAGAAAGGAGGTGTGTGAAAGTCCTTGAAACATATGTAGTCTTATTTAATATTCTTTTAAAAGCTTTAGTTAATGCACACACTTGATAGAGACACTTGAGCCTGGAAGGCAGAGCCTGGAAAGCATCCTGGAAGGGATGCTCCTGTTCCTGTCTCCTTGCTTCCTCTCTTGTAAGATGTAGCCACATGGGTGACACATGAGAAAGTTGGCTGTGTAACTGGTACTAAACTATATATTTTTTGTTTTTGTTTCCTTTGTTGGTCATGGGGCTTGAACTCAGGGCCTGGGCTCTGTTCCTGAGGGTTTTTTTTTGTTTTTTTTTTAACTCAGGGCTAGCGCTCTACCACTTAGAGCTACAGCCCCATTTCTAGTTTTCAGATGATTAACTGGAGATAAAAATCTCAAGGACTTTCTGCCTGGGCTGGCTTTGAACCATATAGCTAAGCTATGTTTGTTTGTTTTAAACTGAATCGGAACCTTTCTTCTTATTGATGCACTGTGGCTCAAGTGGTCGAGTGCTAGCCTTGAACAAAAGAAATTCAGGGACAGTGCCTAGGCCCTAAATTCAAGCCCCAGGACCAACAACAGCAAAAAAAATGTGAAAAATTCACATGAAATGCAGACTTTTTAAAAACTTTAATGTCTTATAAACTGTAGCACATTGATTAAGACATTGAAATTAACATGGATGCAATATCATTAACTGCATTATAAACCTTAATTTCGTGTGTGTGTGTGTGTGTGTGTGTATGTATGTGTGTGTGTGTGTGTGTGTGTGTGTGTGTGTGTGTGTGTGTGTGTGTGTGTGTTATTAGGGTTTGAACTCAGGGTCTTGTGATTACTAGGCAGGTGCTGAATCAGTTGAGTCATGCATTTAGCAAGCCTTTATTCATCCTAAATATTTTTCTGGAAATACCTTATGCCTTTGGAATCCTCAGCCATCTTTCAATGATCTCCTTCTTGTTTAGGTTAAAGGGTATAAAGATGTTACCTAAGATGAGTAAATTTAGAGATGTAATGCATAACGTGGGCTTTAGTGAACATCATCCTGTATCCTGGACATTGCTAAGAGTAGTCTTTTGGTATAGATGATGAATATGTGATTTGACTGTATTTACTTCACTCTGTGTATATTAAAATGTAATGTTGAGGGGCTGGGAAGGTGGCTCAGTGGTAGAGTGCTTGCCTTGCATGCAAGAGGCCCTGGGTTTGATTCCTCAGCACCACATAAGCAAAAAGAAAAAGCCAGAGGTGGTGCTGTGGCTCAAGTGGTAGAGCGCTAGCCTTGAGCTGAAGAGCTGAGGGACAGCGCCCAGGCCCAGAGTTCAGGCCCCTTGACTGGACCCCCCCCCCAAAAAAAATGTCATGTTGAAACTGGGCACTGGTGGTTCATGCCTATAATCTTAGCTTTAGGAGGCTGAGACCTGGAAGTTTGAGGTTTGAAACCAGCCTTGGCAAAAGTCTGAGAGATTCTAGCTCTAAATATCCAGCAAAAGGCCAGGCTGGAAGCATGGTTCAAGTGGTAGAGTGTTGACTGTAAGCAAGTGAGGTGATCAAGGATGAATTTAAAACACAGTACCAGTTCCAGACCCCCCAAAATCATGTTGTACCCCTGAAAAATACAAGAAAACAACTAGAACTTCCAGAATTAAACCCCAAATGACATTTCTTTTCTTTTTTTTTCAAAGTAACATTTCTTAACAGAATTTTTTGACTTGTTAGGTTACAAAAGACATCTAGTTATTTTTGAATCTTAAAGGAATTTTCTGTTAACTGCATAAAATTTTCAATTTTAATTTTCCTTATCCTAGAAATTCATGCACATCTGTGTCTTCTAGCATTCCAGTAGGTGGCAGTGAACAGGCACAGAAAGTGTCTTGGTGACTAGTTCAGACTACCTATGGCCTCTTTCCACCTTTCCCTTTCATTAGAGGGGCTCCTTTTTAAAGCTGACAGCTGCTTGGCTTGCTTTTGTGGGGATAAGAGAGGACAGCCAAATTTATTTTGCTGATAAATAAATGTGTTTTTGTCAAGCTAGCTTTTAATTTTAAGTGTTTTATTTCCCTGTTATATTCCAAACAGTTACTATTATATTACAGAAATATGGTTCTTTTGGCAAGTTTCTGTATTACATAAAAATATTTTTTTGGGGGCTAGTTTTAGAATATAGGCTTTTAAAAATACGTTTTTAATTGTAAAAATAGTGTACAGAGGGGTTACAGTTACATGAGTAAGGTAATGAGTACGTTTCCTATCGAGCATTGTTACCTTCTCCTTTGTTTTTCCCCTACCATCTTTTCCCTTCCCACCTCCTCAACTCCTCCCTCCCTACCCCCCACAAATTGCAAAGTTTGTTTTCAACGTAGTGTCTTGTACATGGTTACAATAGGTCAACCTGTATCCCTATTTAAGCATTTTGTTTTTTCCATTCCCCTCCCCAAATTAGAAAAGTGTATATACAAGATGGAGGTCACCGGAATCAAATGCATTGAAAACAGGGGAAGAATATACAAAAGAAAGAAAAAAAAAATCACATAGTACATTATAAGTACATTAAAAACAATAGTAAGAACGAAAAAAACCACGTATGTCCCTGTCTTAGGGTTCATTTTACTTAACATTATCTTATATGGTCATACGTACATAGCTTTTGACCTTTTCTGCTTGTCCTAGACATATACTAGTTATTGCAAATAAGGGAAACCATGGGACCTATGTTTCTGTGGGCCTGGCTTACTTCACTTAATATAATTTTTTCCAAGTCTTTCCATTTCCTAACAAATGGGGTGAAGTTATTCTTTCTGATGGAGGCATAGAATTCCATTGTGTATATATACCACATTTTCTTGATCCATTCATCTACTGAGGGGCATCTGGGTTGGTTCCATAGCTTAGCTATGGTAAATAATGCTGCGATAAACATAGTTGTTCTGGCAGCTTTAGTGTACCCTTGTTTGTGATCATTTGGGTAAATGCCCAAAAGTGGGATTGCTGGGTCATAGGGGAGCTCTATGTGGAGTCTTTTGAGAAATCTCCATACTGCTTTCCAGAGTGGTTGAACAAGTTTACAATCCTACCAACAATGCAGTAGAGTTCCCTTTTGGCTACATCCCCTCCAGCATCTGTTGTTATTAGATTTCTTGATTATAGCCATAGAATATAGCTTTTTAAATCTATCTTTGATAAACAATATGTAGGGGTGTGTGTGTGTGTGTGTGTGTGTGTGTGTGTGTGTGTGTGTGTGTGTGTGCGCATGCATGCACACTTTCTGGTATATTAGGCATGTTGAAGATGGTAGGGAGAGAAAAACATACTGCCCCTCAGTTGCTGCTCCAAGGATGGATTTAGGGCAACATAAACCTGAAAGGTCAATGACAGGGAATGAATGTGGTCACAGATCATCCAGTCCCGGCTCTTCCTTCACACCTTTCCACAAGCGTGTAGATAACACAGCAATATCTGAGTGACTATACCTCTGCCACATTCCCGTCTGTCCTGTGAGGTTCCTTCTTTTCTTTCCCAATGTTGTACCTGTTCTTGCCTCCTCTTCAGTCCAAGAATAGGTGGGCACACTCTGTTTTGCTATTTTTCAGCAGAGCTTCCCAGCATCTTCTCCTTGGAGGAGGAAAGTCTCTGCTCCCGATTCCAAGAAAGCCCTCCGCCCAGCCACTATCACATTGCCTTGATGTCTGCTTTACATACCCAGCACTCCTAAAGCATATGCTCCTGGGTCTTGTTCATTGTGATGCCTTACAAGTGTGCCTGGGTGTTGTCACTTGGCTAGAAATGGGGCCTTGATGTGCTGTGGCCCTGGGCTGGGCTGTCTGTGACTGTCCTGGGTTCTAAGATGGCCAGTGACATTGCTTCTGCCAAGCTTAGCTGGGTAAGCCTCCAAGGACACTGGAGGCTTCAATTAGTTCTTAGGATGAAGAGAAGAGGAGGTTAGGGAGGGGAGGGAGGGGGTGAGAAGGTGTAGAGAGGGAAGATAGGAGTAAGGAAGAGGAGAGGAGAAGGTACTCTCAGTTATTTTCAAACTGTACTTCAAACCCAGGGAGCTTCTTATTTTCAAGAGTTTCAGGTCTTTACTAATGGGCAAAAAGGCTGCTATTGGTGAAGACTGGGCTGGTAAGGCAACCAGTGGGTTGGCTGCCTTAACCAGATCTCTGCTGCTTTCTGTATCTGGCCACTGTAGCCATGAGTGTTTCTCATGGCTGTATCAGTCACATAGGCTCACATATTTAGGCTACAATGTGTCATGCTAGTAAGAAGAGGCTAAAAGAGCATTCTGTTCTTGCTCTGAAGGACATACTTCCAAATAGAATAGGAAGTAGTAGCACTAGCAGAACCACTGAACCAGAGCTGTTCATGTAAGAGCACAGTTCTGGAGGATATAGCCTGACAGTTGCCTAGTGCATGTTCTGTGGCATGCCTGTTTTACCAGTGGCTACATTGTGTGGAGATTGAGGCAGACCTGAGGGAAATTGTGTACAGCAGAGCAGGGCATATAGGGCCTCATTCATCTTTCTTCATTTATAGTTCTTTTATAGCCCTTTCAGTAA